TGGCTTGTGGGCGCAAATATTACGTTTTTTAATAGCTATGAAAAGTATGAATGCCGCAGACATCACCACGCAACATGACAATTTGTTCAAGGTTTGGTTTTGTGTATTTCCAAAATCGATTTTCAAGCTCCGATCATCAGTGGAAATACGGAACTAAAGTGATCAAGGGAAAAACAAAGGTTTAAAATCCAAAGAAGTGTGACACATGACGGGTAACTTGTGGTAAGTATTACAAAAAGTGAGAACTAAGATAAAGAGTAAGTGGACAAACGGGCATGAACAGTGCAGAAACAACTCATGAACACGGGGTGCAAACTCACGAAAATAACCTAAGTGCTAAAACATGTGCTTTTTGCTTACACAAATCGGGCTTATGCGTACGAATACAAACAGCTTCAAGGACCTTCAACTGCTGGACATAACGGGCACCACACAGTACAGAGAAGTGGGAATCATCATACACACTCAAACAATCGGGACGAGATAAAAAATGCAATAATACTTACCACAAAAATACTTACCACAAGTTACCCGTCATGTGTCACACTTCTTTGGATTTTTAACCTTTGTTTTTCCCTTGATCTCTTTAGTTCCGTATTTCCACTGATGATCGGAGCTTGAAAATCGATTTTGGAAACACACAAAACCAAACCTTGAACAAATTGTCATGTTGCGTGGTGATGTCTGCGGCATTCATACTTTTCATAGCTATTATTAAACTTTTATCTCCACGTAGATTATTTGAATACATTTTTTCTTTTTCTTTTTACTATGGTCACATACCCAGCTCGAAAACCGTGAATTGTATTCTGTTTGCCTGTAAAAGAGACTTCAATCTTTACCCGCCCATGTGCAAGTTAGGCCTTTCAACAGCAATTGACTACCAAGTATAGCGAAATTGTGTGCCAAAAAACTGACTGCCCCAAAAACTGACTGCCCCAAAAACTGACTGCCGAAGAACATTCTTTTTTTCTTTTTTTTATTATTATTTTTTTTTGCTGGAATGGAAAGTCATCAAAATTTAGAAGACCATGCGAGGTGGGAACCAGCGATTTAGGAACACCATTGTGTGTGTGTGTGGGGGGGGGGGGGGTTACTATGGTCACATTCCCAGCTCGAAAATAATAATGAAAGACAATGGTTGTTGTGGTGTTCTTCTTTCAATAGGTTGTCATGGCGACCTGGCTTCGAAAGTGCATCTCTACTGCTGTATTAGTAAGTACAGTAACATTTCGATCTGTTTTTTCCTTTGTGCCAAATAAGCAAAAAGGGAAATACCCTTGTACCAAGTAAGCAAAAAGCCCTTTGCACAGTGTGTCAGGAACAGAAATACCCTTTGTACCAGGTAGGCAAGAAGGAAAATACCCTGTACGAAGTGGGCAAGAAGGGGAATACCCTGGACGAAGTGGGCAAGAAGGCAAATACCCTGTGCGTAGTGGGCAAGAAGGGAAATACCCTATACGTAGTGGGGCAAGAAGGGAAATACCCTATACGTAGTGGGGCAAGAAGGGAAATACCCTATACGTAGTGGGGCAAGAAGGGAAATACCCTTTACGTAGTGGGGCAAGACACAAGATAGGAAATACCCTTTGTATCAAGTACACACGAATGGAAGTACCCTTAGTACCAAGTAGGCAAGACCCAAGACACAAAATACACTTTGTACCAAGTGGGCAAGAAGGGAAGTATCCTTTGTACCAAGGGGCCAAGAAGGCAATTACCCTTTGTACCAAGTGGCCAAGAAGGGAATTACCCTTTGTACCAAGTGGCCAAGAAAGGAAATATTGGATACTGTGAAGTAAAAAAATTAAGCAAATTATCGTGTCCGTTCCCGAAGCAAACTCACGACGGCCGCTAACACCAGGTAAGCCCTAGCGGCAGCTGCAGCGCCTAACGCTGGGGGTGAGTGGATAAGTCTCACAACCACTGGCACAAGTGCCGAGAAATCCCATTAGCTGCATCCAGTGGTGAAGTGCGAAGTGGTTGGATTGAAAGGAATCAAAGTCTACAAAGCTTTTTGATCCACTCCCTCTGCCTCTGTCTCTGTCTCTGTACGTATACCTGTATATGTATGTATACCGTCACAAAGTGACTATACACATGGCCATCATGAATATTTTCTATGCTGAATCAGATACCAACCAGCTATCACCAAACTATGCTTTATATTGGCCAAGTCCCGCTGAACATGTAGTAAGTGGATTGATGGTTGCATTGAGTAAGAAACTCTGAGTGGCGACAAATCTGTAAACCTCCGGTGTGGCTTTTGTGTGTGATAGTGCTCCACATTATTGTTTTGAGCCCTATCCGCTGAGAGATGGAAGTTTTCCTCCTTGTGTACATGTATATATATACTTCAGTATGTGTATATTCTCTCTGTTTCTCTCTCTCTCTCTCTGTCTCTTTGTCTCTGTCTCTCTCTCTGTCTCTCTCTCTCTCTCTCTCTCTCTCTCTCTCTCTCTCTCTCTCTCTCTCTC